TGTTGCCCAGGCTGGAGTGCAGTAGCATAATCTCGGCTCACTGCAACCTCCGCCTCTGGGGTTCAAGTGATTCTCCTGCCTCAGCCTCCCAAGTAGCTGGGACTACAGGCATACGCCAACCATGCCCAGCCAATTTTTATATTTTTAGTAGAGACGGGGCTTCACCATGTTGGCCAGGATGGTCTCTATCCCTTGATCTTGTAATCGCCTGCCTCAGCCTCCCAAAGTGCTGGGATTACAGGTGTGAGCCACCACACCCAGCCAAAAATTATTTCTATCATAGGGATTAAGGAAAGGCTTTCAAAGTAATAGTTGTCCTATCCTTTCAGAACTAGCTTATATTAATCTAAATTAGCGTTTTAATAGTAACTCAAATGACATGAATGTTAGGGAATTTTGATGTTCCTTTTCTGATTATATACAAGACCCCAGCATACATGCATCATATCTTGTTATAAGCTTTTCATCTCAGACTTTGGTAGAAAGTGCTCAGTTTCCTGAAATAGTCATGATGTGTTTAAGAGCAAATGGGACCTTAGAGAGCTCATGATAATAAATGCTTGTTTGTCTTGAACTAATGAATCTCTGGTACAAGATAAGAGGAAGCTGGAACATCATGGCATTTCCTCCAATACTATAATGTTTAATGCAGCAGTCATTTGCTCAAAAATAGCACACCCTGCATGTTTCAGTAAATTGTATTCCACTAGCAGAAAGCTGTGTGTGTGTGTGTGTGTGTGTGTGTGTGTGTGTGTGTGTATGTGTGTAAGACAGGACAGAACAGAATCTACTACTGATCAAAACATTGACTCATGGCTGCTACATTGACTTTCAGGCCTGTGAATGGAAAAGCCATTCCAACTCAACAGCCTCCAACCAAGGCGCCCCCTGAGAGACCACCTCCCCCAAAGCTTTCGGCAACCAGAACATCTAATAAGAAACTGCCTTTTAATCGATCCTGTTCCGACATGGATCTTCAGAAAAAACAAAGTAACTGGGCAACTGGACTCTCAAAAGCCAAAAGTCAGGTTTTTAAAAATCAAGATCCGGTGCTACCCCCTCGCCCGAAACCAGGACACCCTCTCTACAGTAAATACATGGTAAATTCAGCTTTTAAAAATGTTTATGTCAAGAGGTTTGCCCTAAAGTACATATACGATTCATTATTCCTTAGAAAAAGATGACGAAACAAATGTGGAATTGTGTTTTGATGCCAAGAGTGCTTTAGATGAGTAGGCCTTAATAAATTCCATGTCTTGGCTGGTCACAGTGGCTCACGCCTATAATCCCAGTACTTTGGGAAACTGAGGCTGGTGGATCAGCTTGAGGCCAAAAATTTGAGACCAGCCTGGCCAACACAATAAAATTCTGTCTCTACTAAAATTATGAAAAATTAGCCAGGCATGGTGGCACAATCCTGTAATCCCAGCTACTCGGGAGGCTGAGGCATGAGAATTGTTTGAGCCTGAGAGGCAGAGGTTGCAGTGAGCCAAGATTGCCCCACTGTACTGCAGCCTGGGCAACAGAGCAAGACTCTGTTTCAAAACAAATGAACAAAACATCTATGTCTTTAAAGCAGGGTTTCATTATTAGGAGAAATGTAGAGAATGGGGAGAAAAAGCAGGGCAGGCCAGGCTTGTAACTTGCTGCCTGGCTGGACCAAAGAAATCCTGAAAAACCTGACCCAGTGGGTTATACTAATGGGAGTAACTCTTACAGATACTATAGTTTATATCTTTTTGTTTTGTTTTGTTTTCTTTAAGAGATGGGGTGTCACTCTCATCACCCAGGTGGGAGTGCAGTGATGCAATCGTAGTGGACTGTAGTTTTGACCTCCTGAGCTCCAAGCTCCTCCTGCTTCAGCTTCCTGAGTAGCTGGGGCTATGGGAACATGTCTCCATTCCTGGCCTATAGTTTATATCTTGATATAGTTTATATCTAATAGCTCCTTTTCCCACTGAGTAAATTTTAAAATGAAGTAGAAAGTTCTTACTAAGTCGGATGGGTTTTTTTCCTCATTTTCCCCTTTTTGTAAGCCTAAAAACTATCATGGTCCATTTATTAGTTACCAGTTAGAAGTTTTTATCAATAGTTGAGATATTCATTTTGTTCTATTTTAATGTTTTTCTTATCAAATGACCTAAACCTTTGTCTCCATTTCCCACAGTTAAAAAAAAAAGAGTTGCCGGCCGGGCATGGTGGCTCAAGCCTGTAATCCCAGCACTTTGGGAGGCTGAGGCGGGTGGATCACCTGAGGTCGGGAATTCAAGACCAGCCTGACCAACATGGAGAAACCCTGTCTCTACTAAAAATACAAAAATTAGCCAGGCGTGGTAGTGCATGCCTGTAATCCCAGCTACTTGGGAGGCTAAGACAGGAGACTCGCTTGAATCTGGGAGGCGGAGGTTGCAGTGAGCCAAGATTGCAGCACTGCACTCCAGCCTGGGCGATGAGAGCGAAACTCTGTCTCAAAAAAAAGAGTTGCCAGGCATGGTGACTCATGCCTGTAATCCAAGCACTTTGGAAGGCCAAGGCAGGCAGATCGCTTGAGGTCAGGAGTTCGAGACCAGCCCAGTCAACATGGTAAAACCCCCGCCTCTACTAAAAATACAAAAATTAGCCAAGCATATTAGTGCATGCCTGTAATCCCAGCTACTTGGGAGGCCGAGGCAGGAGAATCACTTGAACCGGGGAGGCAGAGGTTGCAGTGAGCTGAGATTGTGCCACTGCACTCCAGCTTGGGCAACAGAGTGAGACTCCATCTCAAAAACAAAACAAAACAAAACAAATAAAACAGAGTTGATGTGTTCTCTACTTTGATCAGGTGAACCTGAAAAAGTCTAAAACGACTAAAAGGAGACTGGGCGCAATGGCTCACGCCTATAATCCCAGTGGATGTTTCAATGAGCCAAAATCATGCCACTGCACTGCAGCCTGGGTGACAAAGTGAGACTCTTTCTAAAAAAACATTAAAAATAAAAATGATAAGGAGAGCAGGACTTTTTGTATTTTTTGACAATTGAATGACAGAGTAGCTTGTAACAAGAACAGCAATTAATAATTCTATATAGTGTTACATTTCCATCATTGAGCTAGAAATTATTTTTTCTTTAAGCTGTTCAAGGTTTAAAAAAAAATCCTCCTTAGAAAAGGGCATAGACAAGAAGGAGGTAGTATATTCATATATATTAATATTCATTTAAACTGATAAAACTTTAATTGCTAAAACCCAAGGGTGTTCTTTGGGATAGATTACTTAATTAATAAATAAAAACAGTAGCTGATGTATATTGAGTACTAATTATGAGCCAGGTGCTGTTGGAAGCACTTTATGGATATATTAAATAACTCATTTATTCCTCACACTAACCTTGTGAGATAGATATTATTATGCTCCTTGAACAAGTGAGGAAAATAAGAAACCAAGACATAAAGTAACTAAAGTAACACGCCCAGGCCGCAAATCCAGTTAATGGCGGGAGCAATATTTGAGAACAGGTCAGCTGGCTCTAACGCTTGCTCCTAACCATTATGCCACTTGTAGCCTCTACTTGATTTGGTCATTCTGTGTTAAGAGCCCTTTCTCAGAGGGAACCAGATTTCACGTTTGGTTCTTAGCATAGTTGTACAATGTCAATAAAGCATTTTTAAAAACTCAGTACATTCAAAATGATGGCATATTTAGAGTGGTGTGTCTCATTACAAAATAATTCTTTAAATTTTTCATTTATTGCATGCCTACAGTATCATTAAATTGGTAGCCAGGAATCTGGGTACATTGGGAGCCCTAGGAATCTGACAAAGATGCTGGGAAATAGCACCACCAAGGCAGCCATACAGGGCCACATCCTTGCACTCTGCATCTTTGCTCCTGGGTGACCCAAGGGCCCAGACAGCCTTCTTCCCATGTTGGAAGTAAGCTTATGTGATTACATTTCCTGGGTATGCCTTTTATATAGTGCAGACCCTCTTATGTGCACTCGTCAGCTAAAATTTTCCAAAACAGGAAACAACATCCCCTGGACAAGGTCTAGTACAGATAAAAAAAAAAAAAAAAAAAATTCTAAGATCAGACAGAGCTGAGTGGACCAGGAAGTGGCTGGGATCAGGCCATGAAAAGGATTTAAGTAGACACTTGGTATCAGAGGACCCTAGGAGAAGAAGAGCTTCAGAGTCACTGGAAACTGTCAGGCAAGCAGTACATGGAGGGCTCCAATCACTGATCAGCCTTCAGAGGCCACCATTGTGAGAACCCTAAATTAAAGGCTGCCTTGATGGGTTGTGAGGTCAGGTGCTGGGTATTTCACCTTCAAATCCCCAGGGAGTTGGTGGATCTTGTCCTGTAGAATGGAACTTACTGGTTATGGTCATTAAGGGAATGTTAGGCCATGTTCAGCCCTTGTGGTTCTATAGGCTCAACTCCAACTCCCAAGAGCCTCTAGCATCCGTGAGAAATGGCAGGCCCCATTGATCTAGAGCATGATGAAGCCAGGTGAGTTTAGCTGCTGGAGAAGTGCACTTTAGGCACACACGTGCCAAATTCCTAAATGATCAGCAACTTAAGAAGAGATTATTTTATTGTGAATAAGCCTTTTATTGGTTTACATTTAAGCTGTCTGTGCCTCATGGAATTGCCAATGAAGACATTGTCTCGCAAAACCCTGGAGAACTCTCTTGTAAGGTAAAGTAGAGCTCTTTCTTTACTGATTAATGGGAAAAAAATCACTGGCCTCTCTTACTACTATTACACATTATTAAATGCTTTAGGCTCCAAAGATTAAAATGTGAAAAAAGTAATAATGTTTTATTAAATAATAATTGCTTCAGAGAGTGGTATTATACCTTACAGCGTGGGGATGTACTTGTGATGCTGAAGCAGATGGAAAATAATTACGTGGAGTGCCAAAAGGGAGAAGACACTGGCAGAGTTCACCTGTCTCAGATGAAGATTATCACTCCACTTGATGAACATCTTAGAAGCAGACCAAACGTAAGGAATTAATATTGTTACAGCTTTCATATCACAATCGCAGCACATTTCATAGAACTATTAATTATATCTCATCTTCAGGTTTTTATTAGCACATTTATTTTAACCAGAGTAAAAATTACAGTAGCATTTTATTCCACTTTTAAATAAATTACTACTAAGAGACTTGCCACTGCCATACTAATCACTTCAATACAGAGTGACTACCTTGTGTTTTGCCATCTTCATAATGTGCTGACTTATAACAACCAGAATACTCAGTCATTAATTTTAAACTGCGAGAGCTGTTTGTTTTTTAAATAATGTAAACATGTTTACCAAAATGTCAGAGGATAGGTTTCTAGCAGAATGAAAGTCTGACACTATAAAGCACTTCCCTTTAAGATTTAAGCTTAATGTAAACCTCATTTCTCTGATTATAGCTCAGAAAATAATGAAATTTAATGCAGCAACCTCAAGTCCCAATTTAAGCCTAACAAATTCATGGAACCTGGGAAAATACAATGATTATTGAAAGGCATTAGCTTAGCAAGAAAAATGCTGTTGAACAATTTTTAGGAGCATATTTTTAAAACAGCTTCTTAAGTTATCCAGTTAAAGTGTCACTATCTGTTAATGTGGTAAATATGAAAAACAGGCTGGGCACAGTGGTTTATGCCTGTAATCCCACCATTCTGGGAGGCCAAGGGAGGCAGATCACTTGAGCCCAGGAGTTTGACCAGCCTGGGCAACATGGCAAAACTCTGTCTCTACTAAAAGTACAAAAATTAGCCGGGCATGGCGGTACGTGCCTGTAGTCTCAGCTACTCAGGAGGCTGAGGTGGGAGGATTGCTTGACACCAAGCGATGAAGGCTGCAAGTGAACCATGATTGAGCCACTGCACTCCAGCCTGGGCCGTAGAATGAGACTGTACCTTTAAAAAAAGTACAAATAAAAAAATAAAGTAAATATGAAAAATAATACTGATCAAGTAAAGTATTTGATTTGCTGTTTAGTTTTCATAGTCTTTTCCAATTTTTTCTTCTTAGAAAGCAGTTTATCTTTTAAAGTTTGCTAAGAAACTAAAAAATTGTGTTTTGGAGAGCAGAGTAGATATGTGTTAAGCTGGCTGCAGCTGGCATATCAAAATCCTTACTTTAGTCCCCATGGGGCAAGTTCTCCTCTGACTCATTTTCTCTGTTTTGGTACAGCATTATCCATCTGTCATAGCTGTCCTTCCTCTTTCAGAACACACTCATGGCAACAGTGGGAACTATACTGCCAAAAAGCTTTTCTTTATGAAAAGTAGAAGCTTAAAAAAAATAGGATTTTTTTTTTTTTTTTGAGACAAGGTCTCATTCTGTTGCCCAGGCTGAAGTGCAGTGGTATGATCACTGCAGCCTTGACCTTCCTAGCTCAAGCAATCCTCCCACCTCAGCCTCCTGAGTAACTGGGACTACGGGCATGCACCACCATGCCTGGCTAATTTTTAAAATTTTGTAGAGGCAGGGTCTTGCTATGTTGCCAGGACTGGTCTGAAACTCCTGGGATCAAGCCACCTGCCCGCGTGGGGCTCCCAAAGTGTTTGGATTACAGGTATGGGCCTCCATCTCCAGCCAAAAGTTATTCTTTTATAATGGTGTAAAGTTCTTTCCACTTTAAACACCACCTTCTCATCTTTTACTATAGACTTGCAGAGAGTTGACCTCCAATGGCCAGCTATTGGTGATAATGAAATGAATCCTCTTTTATGCTTCTGGATTCATGGCTATTATTATATTTTTTAAAAAACAAAACTTACCTATTTGAAAGCCTAGTTTTAAGGTAAATATCTCTACAAATGTGTTGTACTTTCCTCTAATTTGGAAAACAGAAAATATTGCATGAATGTGACCAGTTGTGGTTGAATCAGACGGATCATAGGAAAAGTGGAAGGTTGTTGCCTGGTACCTGGTTGAGACCCCAGACCTGGGTTTAGGGAATTTGGATTCAGTTCCCCTTCCATCTTCTTTGGTGGTTATTTAACTTCTCTAAACTTTATTTTTTAATGTGTGAGATAACTGCCCACAGAGTTGTCTTCAGAGTTGGCAGATTATATGATTTTATTTGTGTAAAGGTCCAGAAAGGAAATCCATAGAGACAGAAAGTAGACTACGGGTTGCCTAGGGCTCAGGGGAGGGTAAATGGGGAGTGACACTTAATTGGTAGGAGGTTTCTTTGGGGAGTGATAAAAATGTTCTGAACTTGGGTTATGGTAATGGTTCGATAATTCTATGAATATACTAAAGCCATATTCACTTTTAGTGGGTAAATTTTATTGTATGTGGATTATATCTCAAAGATGGCTAACAAATGAACTAATGCACATAAAGTATTTAACACAGTGAGTAGCACATTGTGAATTAACAGTAAATATTAGCTATTCTTAATATTACAGAACCATTTGTATTAGCAGTTATAATCATATTAAAAAGACCTTTGCATTATATTATATTTACCTACCAGATACCCACCCTAGTGGTGTGGTCTATATGGACTCCTTGTTGGTGTATCCCTGTCTAGCCTATTCCTCTTGCCCTCCACCTGCTGGACTGGGTTGATGAGTAGCATTGCCAGTGATATCCATACATTGAAGGCAGAGAAGGGAAAGTTTGTGGTCGTTAGGCACAAATTATTATCCCCTCCCTCCCAGGCTTGGTTTATATTTAGATCTCTGGTCCATTTGGAGATTCATGTTTGTGTTTGGTGTGTGGTAGGTCTTTGACATCATTTTTTCCAAATGGATAGCCATCTAGCCTGATACCATTTATTGAATAGTCATTTCTTTTTCTCCACAGATGTAAATCAGAAAAAAAACGAAAATCACACATGCACATGTATAATACAACATGTAAATAATCATTAATTTTTTTAAGTTTGTTTTTTTTTTATTT